GGGTGTGGGACAGAAGCCTGCTTCCCTTTCTAAGAGCCTCTGTGTCCCCTGACGTGGGTGACCCTCCTAGCCATCCACAAGGATAGACATGGCGGGTCACAGTGGCACAGGGAGAAGCACCCAGCGTGCTCCCACACACCTTGGCCCCCACCCTTCAGGCCCTCACGGGGCAGTTCAGGGAGTGGGCATCCTCGGAGCAGTGGGCGCCTCAGCCACCGTCTTCCAGAACAGGAGAGAACTGTCCTTCCTCCAGAGCAAGGAGCACCTGTTGCAGGACCCTGCTGGGGCCAGAAGAGGCCTGCTACAGGCTCCAGCTGCCCCTYGGGACACTGCAAACCCAGGCCAAAGCCAGGAACATGCCAGGGCAGCAGGGAGGATGCAGGAAACCTTCAGCTTCACTCAGCCCCCCATGGACTCCCTTCCTGTGGGCTGCCCTGAAGGCCACTGTGGTGGAAGCAGCTTGTGAGGACAGGCCAGCACTGCAGGGACAGCTGGGCCTCCAGCCAGGACGGCTCTGCTGTCCTGCTCTGCATGTTGCCTTCCATGCCAGTGCTGCTTCCAGCTGGTGAGAGGGGTGTGTGTTGGGTCCCCACCCACATGGACTCAGGGCCCCTGTCTCCCTCCTCGTCTCGATCTGGACAGAGGAGCAGGATGGCCACCCATCTGCTTTCTGGAGCAGCCTGGTGGAGAGCAGGACTGAGCGTGCGCAAGACAGGCAACAGCGCTGGGGGTTTGGAACACAGGACGCGGAAGCCTTTACCACGGAATACAGTGCTTTATTGCCTATCCAGGGGCAGCCGAGCCTGGCTACATCAAGGGGTGCAGGGGGCCACAGCATGGGGCTGTGCACACTGGAGAAACTGTGGGGAGAACACATCGATGTCTCGTGATGACTCTCAGGTGTCCTAACATCTGTGGCTTGCCTGGCCCACAGTTGCCACTTTGTTCCCACCAGGCAACCGTTGGCCATCTCCTGTGTGCCCAATCACAAGGCATCCTGCAGCTGGCCACGAGGAGGACGTTGACAAAGGAGCCAGCTGGTACGTGAGTCAGTAACAGGCTTCCAAGAACACCGCGTGCTCCGCCTGGAGCCAGAGAACTGGCTTCACCACGAGATGGCAACGCAGGGCACAGGTGACGCCAACTGCCTCGACACCCATGGGCACAAGAACCCTGCCCTCAGGAGCACGGCCCCTCTGGGCGTTCCTGCAGGCCAGGCCGTTGGAGCTCATGCATGCAGACCAGCAGGCTTCTCCAGCGGCCCCACGAAGCTGGGTGAATCCACACAAGTGGGAGTCTGGGCACCTCTGCGCTCCCAGAGCTTGGAGGGAGCTGGTCGCGTTTTTGGTTCCATTTTAGGAAGGTTGGGCGATGTGACACAGATGTTCATRTTCATTTCTGCTTGGTTCTCCGGTCCGTTATCCAGGTGGATGCGTGTGCGGCCAGCCCAGCGCCCCCAGGCGCTCCACCCCTGCCCTCTGTATCTCTCTCCTGCTGACTGGCCGCACTTCTCTGACCCTCATTCASTTGTGGGCCTGGGCACAGGCCCTTCGCCAGCACTTTTGCTGTCCTCCAACAGGATCAGCTCTGTTCTTGCTGAGGATGCCACCATCACTCTGGACCCCAGCCTGGCACCTGCAGCCCCTGCTGCCACCTCATCATCCTCCTCTTCAGGGGAAAAACTTTCTCKGGCGTCAAAGAAGGTGACTGTTTCTTCCTGCAGCTTTTGCCCCGGCAGACCTGCCTCCTCCTCCAAGCTTTTGCCCTTCTTGGCAGGGGAAGAGGAGAACCCTAGTCTGGGAAACCGGAACCAGCCTGCCCTGTCCTGCTTCTTCTCGGGCTCTGGGTCTGGCCGTGCCCCAGGCTGTGTCTGGATGGGAGCAGACCTCTGGGCRTCATCCCTGGCATTGGCACTGGTCTCGCTGGTGGAAGAGAACCCGATGTTTGGAAGCCAAGACCACAACAGCCCAGAAGACTTTTTACCTTCTGGCTTCTCTTTGGGAGCCCTGTCTTCACCTGCCAGCAGGGTCGCTGCCTCCGGGCGGTYGTCAAGGGGAAACTCGAGAATTTCTGCTGGCTCCTCATCAGAGCCACTGTCTGCAAGCTGGAGGCCAGAGCCAGCCTCGCTCGGGAATGTTGGTGGCCCCAGCAGGTTGGCACTGCCGGAGATCATCTCAAATGGCTCTGCAGTGTCAGGCTGCGGATCTCCAGGAACGGTGTCTCCTCCTGGGGACCCTCCCGAGGGCTCCCCTGCTGCGGAGTCTTGAGCTATGGTGTACGTGCTAGCCTGGGCAGGGAGCTCTGGGATTTTCACCTTCAGCAAGGAAAACCCATAGGAAGCCATCTGAACCGTGGACGTGGGGATCTCTGATTCCCGCACAATCTGAGTGGAAGAGGCCTCGGGTGCTGCCATATCAGAGCACTCTCCTTGCACATTGCTGCAAATGGTGACCCCTTGACTCTCACCCTGGGACTCCTGAATGTGCACTCGGACCTTAGAAACTGGGGACACCTCTGAGGAGAGGTCAGGGCCCTCGGGCTGCTCCCCGGGCACCACCGTGCCAGAGGCCCTCAGGAGGCTGGCTCCCCAGAGCCCAGGACTGTCCTGGAGAAGGTCCACCTCTGGGCCTGCCTCCGTGCAGGGCACTGCCCTCACCACAGGAAAGAACACATCTGCCTCAGAGCTGGGCACAGGGAAGGAGAACCTGGGCACCTTCAGTTTGGGGAAGGTGACTGTTAGCACAGAATCTTCCCAGAGCTGATTCACGTTCACCACGGAAACCTGGGATGGCACGTCAGTGCTGGAAGCCTTTAGTTTCAGAGGACCTTGGGGCTGGAAGGACCACATCTCTGTTCTCACCTCTGCCTGGGCAAGGTCACATCCTCCTGGCCGGGAAAGAGGCTCCCCACGTGCTTCTCCTGGTGGAGCCAAGGGTGCAGAAGGCCTCACTCCAGGGATCTGAAGGGGAAGGGGGTCTATGGCTGGGTGGGTCCCGCCCCCGCCCCCAGGGCTGGGCAGGCCCGACTCGGACCCTGGAGCAGTGGGGAAGTGCAGCTGTAAGCTGGGGCTCTCAAGCGGACGCCTGGGGACATCTGCGTAGGATTCACTCTCAGGAGCGGCCCCTTCCATCTGGGCTTCTAGGGGCCGTGGGGACACACTTGCCTCTGCCATTGACCCAGGATCGGGGGCTGCCTCTGCTGTGTCCTGCTCCCGGGGTCCCCCTTGCTCCTTGGAGGAAGAGCGCCTGAAGCCAGGCACGCGCAACGTGGGCATCCTGAACCAGTGTGCCTGCGAGTCTGCCGGTGCTGCTCTGGTGGCAGTGCCCCYGTCTGGCCTTTCCACAGTGGGGACATCCTCGGGGTGTGCCATCCTCTCCCCAGGGGACTGGCTCATGGAGAGGTCCCCGAGTCGGCTTTCTTGGCTGTCACCTCTGATAGCCAGGTCATGTTGGGGAAGGTGCAGGTCAGCCTTCGACAGACTCACCTCCACCTCCACCTCCACCTTGGGTTTGTCAAAACCCAAACTGGGAGGATGGGCCTGTGGCACCTGGACATGCCCCCCATCTCCTTCCAGGGGGCCGGCCGTCATGCCAATGTCTCCCTGACCACCATCACCGCTGGCCCTCTCTGTGGCTTCGGAGTCAGGTCCATCTGTGGTACTGGACAATGCAGCGTCTGTGTCTCCTGGCGGCAAGCTCTCCCGTGCCTTGGAAGCCTTCCGTCTGGGAAGTGGAAGTCTGGGCATGGCCAAGGCAGGCTTCCTCGACCTCCCTTTCTCTGCTTCTTTCTCTGAATGCAGATGCATTTGAGCTTCCGTTGGGGGCACCTGGACCGTGGGCTGAGTATGCATTTCGTCTGTTTCCAGAACCAGGCTGAGTGTGGCGTCCTCTGGGTGGCCCCCAGGGTCCCCTGTTACCACTGCCTGCTTTTTCGGAGACCGGCTAAAAGACGGGAGCTTGAGGCGAGGCATCTTAAAGGGACTGCCCTTCCCATCACGGTCAGCAGCTTCAGCTGGGCCTCCAACRACAGCAGGACCCAAGTGCTCCTCCCTCCCTGGGGACTCAGGGACACCCGAGGAAAGGGGCTGAGAGGCAGGCAGACCAGTCACCACGGCACCCTCACCTAACGAATCCACTCCCTCAACAGGGCAGAGAAGAGACAGGCCTGGGCTATCCTCGGCAGCACRTGAATCTGCCTCAGCAACAGCTGCAGCAGCACAGGAAAACCCAAATTTTGGCTTGTGGAATTTAGGAAATGTCACCCGGGCATGGAATGCAGGAGGCTCGGGGTCCTCCRGGCCTGACTGATGCTCAGGGGAGGACACACAAACAACAGAGTTCTCAGAACCAGCCGAAGGAGCACCCYGCTGTGGAGAGCAGGAGGCCTGCGGGCACTCGGCGCTGGAACCCAGAGGAAAACAGGCCTCCGGGGGCTGGCTCAGCGAGGGACGCTCACTACCCGGGACCACAGGGGGCCCAGCGTGCCCCACAACACCATCAGCTCTAGCAAAAGGAAGGTCAGACGTGAGAAAACTGGGACTCTCCACAGAGGAAGTGACCCCAGACACCGTGCGCTCCTCCGATTCCACCCCAGGGACCTGTGAGGAYGATGTTGGGGACACGCGGAGGAGGCAGGCCCCGGGGGCCTCATCCACTCCAGCAGTACCCCGAGGGGATTTCTTATGAGGACTGAACAATTTAGAAAATTTAAAATGGGGTCTATGAAATGTCAATTCTGATTCTCTTTTTGAAAAAGACGTGTCTACATCACCACTTTCCAACTTRATGTCTTCAGGGGCCAAGTCCTCTGCCCCAGCCAGGCCCCCCTCCAGCTTAGTGCCGGGGGCCTGTGTGTCCACCTGCACGGAGGGCTGCTCCACATCAAGYTCAGAGGGGATCACCTCACCCTTGGGGCTCTTCACCTCCAGCTTAGGGCCCTTTGTGTCCACCTGGGGGCCCTTGACATCCACCTGGAGAGCCCTGGAGTCCAGGTCGGTGTCAGGCAGCTGTCTGCAGAGGTCAGAGGCTTTGAGGTCACCCTGGATGGAGGGCAGGGACACATCAACCTCCACCTTGGGCCCCTTCACCTCCACAGACGCGTCCAAGGCCTTTCCTGGGGCAGACAAGCCGACGGAGGGCATCTTGAACTTGGGCATTTTGAACTTGCTGTCTTTGGTGKCCACTTCCTTGTCTGCCAGGGCCAGGTCCCCCTCCAGCTTGGCACTGGGGGCCTGTATGTCCACCTGTCCAGAGGGCAGCTCCATGTCCAGGTCRGGGGCACTCACCTCAMCCTTGGKGCCTTTCACCTCCAGCTTGGGGCCCTTKATGTCCACCTGGGGGCCCTTGAGGTCCACCTTGGGCATCTTGATGCTGGGCATCTGCACCTTGGGCAGGTGCCCCTTCAGGCTGGCTCCATCAGCAGGGGCCGCCGGCAGCTCTTCCTTAGGCAGGGTGGCCTCAGGGAGGGTCACGTCCACCTGGCCAGCCCTGTCCCCCATTTCGGCGGGGGGCAGCTGGATGCTGATGTCAGAGGTTTTGAGGTCACCCTGGATGGAGGGCAGCGCCACATCAACCTCCACCTTGGGTGCCTTCACCTTCACGGACGTGTCCAATGTCTTGACGGGGGCSGACAKGCYGAAGGAGGGCATCCTGAACTTGGGCATTTTGAACTTGCTGTCTTTGGTGGCCACTTCCTTGTCTGCCAGGGCCAGGTCCCCCTCCAGCTGGGCACTGGGTGCCTGTATGTCCACCTGCCCAGAGGGCAGCTCCATGTCCAGGTCAGGGCCACTCACCTCGCCCCTAGAGCGTTTCACGTCCATCTTGGGGCCCTTGATGTCCACCTGGGGGCCCTTGAGGTCCACCTTGGGCATCTTGATGCTGGGCATCTGCACCTTGGGCAGATGCCCCTTCAGGCTGGGACCTGAGTCAGGGGCTGCCAGGAGCTCTCCCTCAGGCAGGGTGGCCTCATAGAGAGTCACATCCTCCTGGCCATCCCTGGTGTTTAGGGCTGCGGTGGGCAGTTGGATGCTGAGGTCAGAGCTCTTGAGGTCACCATGTATGGAAGGCAAGGTCACATCGGCTTCCACCTTGGCCACCTTCACCTCCACCGATGTGTCCAAGGCCTTTCCTGGGGTAGACACGCCTAAGGAGGGCATCTTGAATTTGGGCATTTTGAACTTGCCCTCTTTGGTGGTCACGTCCTTGTCTGCCAGGGCCAGGTCCCCTTCCACCTTGGCACCAGGAGCCTGTATGTCCATCTGCACTGATGGTTGTTCCACATCCATGACAGGGGTGCTCACTTCACCCTTGGTGCCTTTGACCTCCAGCTTGGGGCCCATGATGTCCAACTGGGGCCCCTTGAGGTCCACCTTAGGCATCTTGATGCTGGGCATCTGCATCTTGGGCAGGTGCCCCTTCAGCTTGGCTCCAGCAGAAGGGGATGCCGGAATCTCTCCCTCGGATAGGGTGGCCTCGGGGAGGGTCACGTCCACCTTGCCAGTCCCAGCCTCAAGGCCAATGGCAGGCAGCTGGATGCTGAGGTCAGAGGTTTTGAGGTCACTCTGGATGGAAGGCAGGGACACATCGGCCTCTGCCTTGGGCCCTTTCACCTCCATGGACGTGTCCAAAGTCTTGCTGGGGGTAGACACACCGAAGGACGGCATCTTGAACTTGGGCATTTTGAACTTGCTGTCTTTGATGTCCACTTCCTTGTCTTCCGGGGCCAGGTCCCCCTCCAGCTTGGCAC